AATAATTCTGGAAGTATAATCATCAACAGAGAGACTTCTGTTTGTGAAATAGAACACTTCTAATCTGTAATAGAAATTACACCTGTAAAATATCAAAGGAAAAGCTATCTGCAGATTGGTACACAGATAAACTGACATTTTTTTTGAGACAAACTTAAGAGTATTTAAAATAGAGATTCCCCGGTGACATCTTTTGTCCTTCTTTGAGATCCCAAGCAGAAGGAGCTGCCAACATGATTTTATTTATTTATTTGGTACACTTGTATACCGCTAATTTCTCAGCCTAGAACGGCGACTCAATTGCGGTTTCCAGCATTTTAAAAACAATCTCAGTTTAAAAAACATATACAAATACAATAACAAATTATTGGGCCACCAATAATAATCCCATATATCTCAAGTTAAAATAAAATACATTACATTACAATAAATTAAAACAAAAACCATACAAGACATCATACAGATATAAATCATCAACAACCAATAACAACCAGTAGCCAAGCACAATGGGTGTGTTCAGAGCTATGAGGGTAGGGGAAGGGCTTGTGCAATACACCTGCAATGGTAGAGCTGGTTGTAAAGTGCAAAAGCCAGATAATTAAATTAGGGCTAGAAGGGCCACGTCAACTGATAAGCTGATTAATCAAAGGCACATTGGAACATTTAAGTTTTCATGTCTCTACGGAAGGTGGACAGGGTGGATGATAATCTAATTTCCCTGAGGAGAGAGTTCCAGAGCTGGGGGGCCACCACTGAGAAAGCCTGCTCCCTCATCCCCACCAACTGTGCTTGTAACTGAGGTGGGAGTGAGAGAAGGGCCTTCCCAGCAGATTTTAAAGCTCGCACAGGATCATAGGGGAAGATGTGATCGCAAAGATAGGCTGGACCTGAACCATTTAGGGCTTTGTAGGTGATAATCTGCACCTTGAATTGGGACTAGAGACTTACCGGCAGCCAGTGGAGCTGTTTTAATAAGGGATTGTCCACTCCCTATAATTCGCTCCAGTTAGGAACCTAAGTTCACTCCAGATAGAAATGTAAATAATAATGCACAGATATTCAAATAATTATGGTGCAAATTATAATTGGATGACTTTTTTTCTTCACAGTACCAAGACTTCATATCTTAAAGACAATTGGGGGGGGGGGGGGCTGCAGCAAAGAAACAGGACCAGTATCTTTGCAACAGTCCTATGGCTTCTCAATCTATTTGAAAGATCCGTTATTTTCCCTCCTCCATTAAGGCCTGTGCAAATCAGCATCCATATCAACAGATCTCCTAATTCCTCACCAGGACACTCTGCCATATCCTGAAATCTACCAGCAATAAAACCACATGGTAGAGATTGTGGAGGAATAATGCTCCATGCCAAGCCCAAAATGTTTTGCTGCCTGAGGCAGAGCAGCGAATGGTTGCTGCTTGTTGCTGTTATGTGCCTTCAAACCGACTCTGAGGTCTTCTACACAACCTTATATCCCAGAATATCAAGGCAGAAAATCCCATAACATCAGCTTTGAACTGGGTTATCTGAGTCCACACTGCCATATATCCCAGTTCAAAGCAGATGTGGGATTTTATTTAGCTATGTGGAAGGGGCCTCTGATTTATGGCACCCAATTCTAGAATTATCTTGGTGAAATTTACTGCCATACTCTGCAGCTGAAAGAGTACGTTTTCTAATGGCTTTTGGTGTCGGAGTGAGGGTTCTGTAGTCAAAACCACAAAATTTTGGAAAGAAGAATTAGATACTGCAACAAACCCAGACTTGGATTTGGTTTTAACTGGTGTGACTAATTTACTGTTTTAATGAAGTGTTTTAATCTTTTAATATATTTGTTTATTATTTAAATGATGATAGCATAGTAGGTTGCTTATGTGGGGCCACCCTGAGTCCCCTCTTGGGAGGAGAAGGGCGGGGTAAAAGTATATGAAATAAATAATAAAATGCCCCCAAATAAAAAGGTACGGCGCACTACGCAAATAAAATACTTCTAGCACAGGAAGTAAATACTTTCACTGACACTTCACTAATAGATACATTAAAAAATGAAATGGCATGGCCCAATTCCTGGAAGCCCTGGCTTATCAACACGCACCGATTGCGCTCAAACATGAAGTGCCAAGAAATGATGCTCCCTTTCCAGGAAGCCTGCTTCCTTTTCATCAAGTGTACCTTTGCCTCTCTTTGTGATGAAAACAGAAATGCAACGGGCCTTTGCAACGTTTCCTTCCTCATTGGTTCACTTCTACCCAGGGTGCATCATTTAACACTGTGGAACTAACGCAGTTTGACACCACTTTAGCTTGCAAGGCTCAATGCTGGGAGTTGTAGTTTTGCAAGGTGTTCTACCAAAGAGGACTGGTGCCTTAACAAACGACATATTCCACGATTGCATGGCACTGAAGCCATTAAAAGTGGTGTCAATGCAGTGTAGATCAGGCATGGGCCAATTTCGGTCCTCCCTCCAGGTGTTTTGGACTTCAACACCCACAATTCCTAACAGCCTCGGGCCCTTTCCTCCCCCCCCCCTTAGGCGGCGGGGGGGTGGGAGGAAAGGGCCCGAGGCTGTTAGGAATTGTGGGAGTTGAAGTCCAAAACACCTGGCGGGAGGGCCGAAATTGGCCCATCCCTGGAGTAGATTCCATAGCACTGAGCCATGACCCACCCCACCCTCCAAAGATACGGAGTCACTTGCTCGCCCCTTTCGCAGCCCCAAGGCAAAGCGGAACCAAAGCCGAGGCGGAACGGATGACGCGGGGGTTGGAGATCGGGGGGAGGACGGCGTGCGGGGCACTCACTCACCTGGGGACGCGGCGCCCACTCCCAGCGCCAACAGGACCACCAGCACGGCGCGCGCCCCTGCCATGGCTAACCAGCAAGTACCGCGGGGCGGCCTCCAGGGGGCGCGCTTGAGGCAGAGTCCGCAGCAGCGTGGAGCCGCCCATAGGAAAAAAAAATGCACCGCCTTCCTTTCCCCCCCCCCCCCCGTAGAGGCACGCAGAGTAGAGTCACACATACAGTGCTGTGATTGCGAGTCAAGCACAATGAGTCAGGTTTCATACAATGTATTGTCGAAGGCTTTCATGGCCGGTATCACTGGGTTGTTGTAGGTTTTTTCGGGCTATATGGCCATGTTCTAGAGTCATTTTTCCTGACGTTACGCCTGCATCTATGGCAAGCATCCTCCGAGGTAGTGAGGTCTATTGGAACTAGGAAAATGCGTTATATATCTGTGGAATGACCAGGTGGGGCAAAGAACTCATGTCTGTTGTAGCTAGGTGTGAATGTTTCAACTGACCACCTTGATTAGCATTGTTTCATACCGGTTTTGGACTACCTTCACTGTCATAGAACACATCCTGGGCCATCCAGTCCACCCCCTGCCAAGAAGCAGGAATATTGCATTCAAATCACCCCTGACAGATGGCCATCCAGCCTCTGTTTAAAAGCCTCCAAAGAAGGAGCCTCCACCACACTCCGGGGCAGAGAGTTCCACTGCTGAACAGCTCTCACAGTTAGGAAGTTCTTCCTAATGTTCAAGTGGAATCTCCTTTCCTGTAGTTTGAAGCAATTGTTCCACGTCCTAGTCTCCAGGGCAGCAGAAAACAAGCTTGCTCCCTCCTCCCTATGACTTCCCCACATATTTATGTCTCCTCTCAGCCTTTTCTTCTGCAGGCTAAACATGCCCAGCTCTTTAAGCCACTTCTCATAGGGCTTGTTCTCCAGACACTTGACAAGGCTTTTGGCAGTCGCAAAGACCCTCTCTGTTGCACAGAGCGTGTTTCAGTCAGGTCCAATGCAGAAGACACAATAATATTGCACCCAGGCAAAAGGAAAAAGAAAAAAAAATTACTCTTACCAGCAGAGTTAAAACATAAACTTGCAATGTTGCAAACAGTACAACAAACTTACATAGTCCTTGTAAGCAATAGGCCTGGGTAACAACGGAAAAATTTGTTTCTAAAATCGATTTGTAATTGGGGGTTTTTTTTTGTTTCGATATTTAAAATAATTACAAAATTTTCCCTTTAAAAAGTTCGGTATTTACGAAATTTCGTAAATATTTACGAATCGATTCGTTAAGATGGCACCCGCGTTGGCGCATGTGCAAAGCATTTACGAAATTTCGTTATTTGTATGCTTCGTTAATAACGAATCGATTCGTTAAGATGGCGCACCGCGTTAGCGCATGCACAAAAGGCATTTACGAAATTTCGTTATTCGTGCTAATTGCACTGTATTACTATTATATAGCACTTTGTGTTGGCAAAAGGAGCGCACTGGTTGGAACTACACAAATAATGAGCGAGCACTGTATTATAGCACTTTCTGTTGGCAAAAGGAGCGCACTGGTTGGAACTACACAAATGACAAACGCACACACAGGCACACAAGATTCTTTCCTTTTTTAGAATATTTTTTTATTTTTTTTAAGAATAAAAGAAAGGTATTTTTCAAAAATATTTAAAAATGGAAACTTAACAAAATGCTCTCCCCGCTGTGGAGCCAACAGCCACAAGACAGGGGAAAACACACACACAGGCACACAAGATTCTTTCCTTTTTTTAGAATATTTTTTGATTTTTTTTAAGAATAAAAGAAAGGTATTTTTCAAAAATATTTAAAAATGGAAAATTAACAAATTAACAAAAACCGCCCTCGCTCTCCCAACAACAGAATTAAGGAATTAAGGAATCAATGCAAGGAAATCCAGCTTAGCCAGCCAACCAAGCCAATGCAAGCCAATGCAAGCCAATGCAAGCCAATGCAAGCCAATGCAAGCCGCCCTCCCGGACCTCCCTTCTCCCTCGCCTCCGCAACAATGAGCAAAGCGGCCACGCGGAGCCGCTTTTAAAGGGCTTCCCGGCCAATCAAAATCAGCCACGGTGCACTGCTTGGGTGCTTGGGAGCGCCGGATTGGCTCCCAGGCACCAGCATCCTCCATCCCATTTCCGAAACGGGCGGAAGCTCGTAAAAAGGATGGAGGATGCCGTTTCGTTATTGAAAAACCCTTCCGGGTTTGAAAAAATGTTTTGTATTCATTTTGTAATTGCTAAAAATAATGAATATTTAACAAATTACAAAATTAACGAACGAAACCGCCCAGGCCTAGTAAGCAATACAGAATAAAGCTTCTTTATATTGATCCAAACGAGAGAGCAGTAGAAATGGCTGAGCAAAATGCCTGAGCAAAGGCTCCTCAGAGCAAAAGCTGGTCTGTATTCCAAAACCCATATAGTTATACCCCACCAAGTGTGGTCCAAATTTACCAGTTGACCTACATTAGCAGCTGCACATAATAATCAACAGTATCAGGTTTTATTTAACACACACACACATACTTGATCCTGTTACAACTTACTGTAATACTCCCCACCAATTCACGAGCAAAACACGGGACTGTGGCTCACAGTTCACACATTTCTGCATGTGTAGAAAGAGGGAAGTCATGAAAATGAACAAAATCTGGCTACCAGCATTGAAAAATTCTAAAAACAGGACAGAAAATGAGGAGCAACACTCAAAAAGAAAGGCAAATTCCAGACAAGAATCAATCAGGGTCAGCTAATACCTCCCAACAAACGATTCCCCAGGCAGAAATTAGCCAGGTTTTGAAGCTGCAAAGCCATTCAATGCTAATCAAGGTGGCCATTTGCAACATCCGCACTTGCCTCAAGCAGATAAGAGTTCTTTCTCCCAGTCTGGACATCCCACTTGCCTAGTTTCCAACAGACCTCACAACCTCTCAGGATGCCTGCCACAGGTGTGGGCAAAACGTTAGGAGAGAATACTTCTGGAACATGGCCATACAGCTTGGAAAACTCACAGCAACTCATTCTGCACTGTTTCCTATCAGTTTCATAATTTATGGGTCAATGTGGAGTGCACATGCGCAAGCACTCCTCTGTCTCTTTTTTTAAAAAAGGAAAATCCATTTTGTGCTTTGCAATTGAAATGTAGAACCCACCCTGTAATTGGCCAAAAATGATAACATTGGTAGCAATTCTGCCTTCCCATCTGCCAGTTTACTTTGTGTCCACATTGCAAGGAATTAACACTCCAGTGGGGTGTTTTGTTCTCCCCAAACTCTTTGCCTTCAGAGTTTTTTTTCTATTTTTGGACTTCATTTCCCAGAATCCTCTGTCACTTTGGCCAATGGTCAGAGAGTCTGGGAGTTGCAGTCCAAAAACACCTGGCAGGGGCAGCGTTTGGGCATCCCTGCATTTAGGCTGCATCTACACACTGTAGAATTCAAGCAGTTTGCCATGGTTCACTGCTATGATATCACGGGAGTTATAGTTTGGTGAAGCAGGCATAGGCAAACTTTGGCCTCCCAGGTGTTTTGGACTCCAACCAGGGGCGGCTCAACCCATTACGCAAAGTAAGCATTTGCAGTATAGTTGATTTTGCCCAGGGGCGCTCGTGAGGCACTGTTTGCTTACTGTTGAAAATTACCTAGGGCTGCCTCCGACTCCAACTCCCACAATTCCTAACAGCCAAAACACCTGGGAGGCCAAAGTTTGCCCATGCCTGGTGTAGAGACAGGACAGTTAAAGTGGTGTCAATCTGCGTAAATTCTACATTGTAGATGCACCCTGAATTTTGTTGCCCGTTGTTATCTTCAAATTTGTTTCTGAAATATGGTGAAAAATGAGCATTATTTTCTGGAGTGTTGTTGAGCCTTCAGTTCCTTTTTTCTCATGATGTTGTTTCCTTTCCAATAGTTGTTGTTTCTATGCTGTAGAACTGATGCAATTTGACACTGCATTAAGTTCTGCAAAATTGAGACTCAGTTGCTTTGATCTGTTCTGACCTTTACGCTATGTTAAGATTAGTCTTTGAGGATGTAACATGAGCATACGCTTGTCTGGTTTTGATGGATTCATTTCAATTGGTGCAGCTCGAGGATGTGGACAAGATACTTGGAGAAGCGAGGACAACCACATGCATCCTTGACCCCTGACTATCCTGGCTGATAAAGGAAGCCAGAGGGGTTTGGCCAAGTGGGTGAAGGTGGTGGTTAATCCCTTCCTATGGGAAGGCAAGATTCCAGCCAGCTTAAATGAAGATGTAATAAAACCACTGTTGAAGAAACTGAGCCCGAGCGCGGCAGGGAGCCCCGCCTTCACATTGGTGTGAGCCGCAGCGGAGAGTTCCGCAGTTCCTGGACCAAGTTTTGGGGACCAACAGATGAAATGTGCCCCATCAGCCAGCCCAAAGCCAGGAATGCCTGCAACTTTCCTTTGCCTTCCCCTCTCCCTACTTTGTATCATTCCCCTAATAAAGGTACTTGAAACTTGCAACTTTTAATCTCTCCGCTTGATACTTTTGTATCTTTCCTGACTCGAACTATAACAACACTAAAATAAACCTTTTTCCGGGCTCCGGAGAACCGTGAGCCCGCAGGAGGCGCCTCCAGGCGCCCCCGGGACCCCGAATCTGCGTCTGTCCAAACCGCGGATACGGAAACCGCCATTTCAGACCCCCTTATCCGCGAAAAATCATAAAATGGCGGATCGCCGCCGTTTCAATTTTATATCTTTCTGCTACTAATCCTAAGCCTAACTGCTATCTCCCTTTTCTCATTTTGGGCTCCTACACCCGGGGATAAATTGGTTTTGTTTTGAGCATTTTATTTTACAGAGATCAGCTGTTTGTCAATTTGGCCGGGCTCTTCCCAGACAGTTCGTTTCTCCTCAGCGGTGCTCACTCCTGCCTGGATCCAGAAACCAGGGACCCACTGCGGCCACCCGCAGGAGACCCCGGGAAGGCAGCCAGGCGTGGGTCCCGGTCTCTGACCTGGGAGACATAGTTTTCCAAAGGACAGACAAGGACACTGCCCCACCATTGCAACCCGGAAATCCTCCTTGGACTCTTTTTGCCCTCTCCTATTGACTTTCTGCCCCAC